CTTAACAAAGAGTTTAAAACTCAAGTAATTGGCCGGGATCATGAGCAAGCAGTGCAAAAAGAGTCAGACTATATTATCTTACTTTGGTGAAAAAGAAGATCAAAATATACAACCAGAAGAAGACAACAAAGTCAAAGCCCTACATCCAAAGCCTCCAAGAAAAATATGAATTGGTCCCAGGCCATGGAAGAGCTCAAAAAGATTTTGAGAAGCAAGTTAGAGAAGTAGAGGAAAAACTGAGAGTGATGCTAAAGGAGACCCAAAAAAATACTGAAGAAAATAACACCTTAAAAAATAGCCTAACCCAAATGGCAAAAGAGGTCCAAAAAGCCAATGAGGAGAAAAATGCCCTAAAAAGAAAAATTGGCCAGATGGAAAAGGAAGTCCAAAAGCTTACTGAAGAAAATACTTCCTTAAAAATTAGAATAGAGCAATTGGAAGATAGTGACTTTATGAGAAATCATGACACAGTAGAACAAATCCAAAAGAATGAAAAATTAGAAAACAATGTGAAATATCTCATTGGAAAAACAACTGATGTGGAAAATAGATCCAGGAGAGAGAATTTAAAAATTATTGGACTATCTGAAAGCCATGATCAAAAAAAAGAGCCTAGACATCATCTTTCAAGAAATTATCAAGGAAAACTGCCCTGATATATTAGAACCAGAGGGCAAAATAGAAATGGAAAGAATCCACAGATCTCCTCCTGAAAGAGATCCCCAAAGGAAAACTCCTAGGAATATTGTAGCCAAATTCCAGAGTTCCCAGGTCAAGGAGAAAATATTACAAGCTGCCAGAAGGAAACAGTTCAAGTACTGTGGGAACACAATCAGGATAACACAAGATTTAGCAGCTTCTACATTAAAGGACGCAGGGCATGGAATATAATATTCGGAGGGCAAAGGAGATAGGATTACAACCAAGAATCACCTACCCAGCAAAACTGAGTATAATCCTTCAGGGGAAAAAATGGTCATTCAGTGAAATAGAGGACTTTCAAGCATTCTTGATGAAAAGACCAGAGCTGAATAGAAAATTTGACTTTCAAATACAGGACTCAAGTGGAACATGAAGAGGTAAACAGGAAAGAGAAATCATAAGAGACTTATTAAGATTGAACTGTTTACATTCCTGCATGGAAAGATGATATTTATAACTCATGAGACCTTTGTCAGTATCAGGGTAGTTGGAGGAAAAAAATTATATGTATGTATATGTAGATAGATAGATAGAGGGCACAGGGTGAGTTGAAGATTAAGGGGTCATATCTGGAGAATAAAATTAAGGGATGAGAGAGGATTATACTAGGAGAAGAAGAAAGGGAGAGGTAGAATGGGGTAAATTATCTCACAAAAAAAACAACAGAAAAGTCTCTTACAGTGGAAGGGGAAACAGGGGAAGGTGAGAGGGAATGAGTGAATCTTATTCTCATAGGATTTGGCTTAAGGAGGGAATAACATACACATTCAATTGGGTATGGAAATCTGTCTTACCCTACAGGAAAATAGGGGGGAAAGGGGACAAGAGAGCAGGGGGATGATAGAGAGGAGGGCAGATTGGGAAAGGGGTTAATCAGAAGTAAATACTTCTGAGGAGAGACAGGGTCAAAAGAAAGAATAGAATAAATGGGAGGGCAGGATAGGATTAAGGGAAATAGAGTTAGTTTTTCACAACATGTCTACTATGGACGTGTTTTGCATAACTGCACATGTACAACTTATATTGAGTTGCTTGCCTTTTCAATGAGGGTGGGTGGGGAGGGAGGAAGAGAGAAAATTTGAAACCTAAAGTTTTAAAAACATATGTTTAAAAAAAATGTTTTCACATGCTACTGGGAAATAAATATAGGAAATGGGGTACAGAAGTCTATCCTGTCTTACAGGAAAATAGAAGGGGAAGGGGATAAGAGAAGGGGAGAGAGATAGAAGAGAGGACAGAGTAGGGGAAGGGATATTCAGAATGTATGACATCTTGGGGTGGGGGGAGGGGGGAGATGGGGTGAAAATTTGGAACTCAAAAACTTGTGGAAGGGAATGTTGAAAACTAAAAATAAATAAATTTGTATAAAAAAAGAAAAAAACCAAAAAAAATAAAAATAAAAAATAAGAAAGTAAAATAACATGAAGAGTTCAGAGAAATAGAGTTACACAATAGCTCACACAATAAAGATCGTGACTTCACTTCTGAAACAAAGCCAAATATTCCAGTGTCAAAATTTTGTCACATGAAAGAACATGTGACAAAATTACATTGTTCTTTATTACTATAACTGAAAGATCACTAAAAACTACATTAGCAAAGTTATTGAAATAAAATGCACATTTTTTGGGAAAAAAACTTATTAAGACATCAGTAGAATCTGATAGCATAAGCAATGCCTCTCACACATAGCACCCTCCCTACATTACAGATGAGGAAGCTGAGGAAGACAGAGGTTAAGTGAGCTGCCCAAGGTCAGATGGTTGGTGAGGCAGGATTTGAATCCAGGTCTTCCTAACCCTAGTGTCCAGTGTGCCACCCAGCTGCTTCTTAGGACACACAGACAATAAGTGGCAGAGTCAAGAATGGTATCTGTGCCTCCTCACTTGCAGACTAGTGCTCTACCAAATCTGTCCTCTTTTGGTCTCACTTATTTATATGAATGAGTTTTTTCCCCTCTGTCCAGGATATTGATTACCCTCCCAGAAGTTTCCCAGCCCTCCTTCAGAACTACTATCCTTTCATATAATTAATTCTAAGATCTGTGTCTAGCCCCTGACCTTCAGCATGACTCTTCTGCTACTACCCTCAAACAGTGGCAGAAGGTACAGTCTGGAAGCTCTCAGGGGCTCCCTGGGGAATCGCTTTAGGTAATGCAAGAGAAGTCCCATGGTGCTGGATCTCACTGGACCATTCCTTGCCTTGACCTGCAGACAAGACTTAGACGGAGAATGGACCCTGCATTCAAATAAAGGAGAAAGAGGCTTGCACTGTTGTTGCTGTTGAGTTGTTCCAGTCATGTCAGACTCTTTGTGACCCCATTTGGGGCTTTGTTGGCAAAAATACTGGAGTGGTTTGTCATTTATTTCTCCAGCTCATCTTATAGATGAGGAACTGAGGTAAGCCGGGTTAAGTGACTTGCCTAGGGTCACACAGGAAGTGTCTGAGGCTGAATTTGAACTCCCACTCTATCCACTGCACCACCCAGCAGCCCTTGTGTGCCTCTGTGGGAGAGAACAGTTGTGGGATGTTCTAGTTGGAAGTGCTTTGTTTCCATAGAACTGGTCCCCAAAGGTAACAAACAGGTCATGGTTGCTAAACTTGCTTTGAAAAGTGGTCCCTTGTTTGCTGCTATTTCTTGTCACCCACGGCAGGTGAGTGATGGAGGCTGAACAATCCATTGAATATATTCCTCAGTGATCAGAGCATGGTCGTGTTTCTGTGGCCATCCACTGTCATTTCCAATCTTGCATATTTTAAATCTTCGATGGGATGAGAAGGCAACATTTTTAGCGGATTTTTATGTCATTCACGGATTCACATGGCTCCTGTGTCAATCCTTGTTTCATCTCCAGGGAAATTTGGTCTTCTAATAACATATTTGCACAAACAAGCAAGGAAAGGGTCTGACTGGCACATACCTACAGCAGAAATGCCCCTTTTCAGGTTGTTGTGCTGGTCTAGGGAGCTGCTTCAACCTTCGGTGCACTGTGCCCATGTCCAGCCTGGAATCCCAGACTGTTGGTCCTGAAAATAATCTAAGGAATTCCAACCCACAATTGATGAGGAAAATGAGTCACAGAAAGGGCAGTTACTTTCTCAAAGTTATCCAGATATAGGAGTAAAGAAGACACAAGTTCAAGTCTGGACTCTGGCATATACCACATGAGTGACCCTAAGCAAGTCACTTCGACCCTCAGTGCCACAGGAACCACTATAAGATTATAAATTACACATCAGAGGCAGGGATTTTCCTCATAGGGAATTCCTTAAGCAGTAGAATCATAGGGCCATTTCTATCATCCACTATCCCCATGCCGAGGCCCCCAAACACATCACGTGGCTGACTTACAAAACATTGAAAAAGCAGATGACAGGCACAATAAGGAAAGGGGTCTAGAGCAGAATGTCGACCCTTTCACCATGAGTTGGAATGAATAACCACAAAGTAGAACTGTGCAGAAGCAGAGATGGGGCAGGTGCAGACATGGAGACAAGACAGCTTCTTTGTGGTTCTCTTTGGGATCATCGCAGGAGGAGGGAGTCCACTGTAGTCTAGAATTCTTGGGTTCCTTCTTCCTAGCAGCTCATTCAGCTCTGGGGTCATGGCAGCTCCAGGATCAGAACTTGACCTGTACACTTGACCTCCCCCCCATAATGCTACTTCCTCCTTCCCTGCCCACCCCCAAAATTGCAAAGTTTGTGTACGTTCTTGTACAGATTTATTTATGTGTATTTGGTACTTGCCAATATAATGGAAGCTCCTTGAAGGCAAGGCTTTATTTTTTGCCTTTGAATCTGTAGTGCTTGGCATACTGGTAGCACTTAAGAAAGGCTTTGTGACTAGTTAATTAGGTGGTTTTATAGAGAGGGGAGAGTTTGTGTTGCATGGGGCTGGTTTCGCACCTCACCTCCTGAGAGCACAGATAGAGAGAATGACCTCCACCTCTACTCTTCCACTCCTGATCTAGGAACCTGGAAGCTTCTAGTATGTAATGGAAGAGTCTCCATATAAGACATGATAAAGAAGGGGCAGGGCAGAAAAGAGCAGGGAGTGAGGTGAAGATGGGTAGAAGTGCAAACCATCAGACAGAGAAAGAAAGACAAGATGGGAGGAGACAGGACAAAAACGAGATTCTGCAGGCTTCAGAAGCAGTGAGGCAAGAATCAAGGAGACAAAGGATGGCTGGATCTCAAAGTCTAGAGTTAGAGGAGACCTTACAAAGAACCTTGTTCTAGATATTCCTTTTGTAGATGAGGATGCTGTTGTTGGGAGAGGGCAAGGGTGAGTGACTTACCCCAAGTCACAAAGAAAGTGGTGGGTAGTCAAGCCAGAAACTGAACCCAAGTATTCAGACTCCCAAATTTTGATCTCTTTCCACTCCATAAGGTAACATTTCCATCCACATTTCTGGATTTCTTGGGCTGACAGGACCTGTGGTCCCTTAGAAGCTGGTCTCATTTTGGCAGAGGACTCCATCAGATGTTGGTCTGGCCTGAGCCCTGATCAAAAGCTGAATGAAACCTGGGAGACTCTTCTGTTAAAGGTGAGATCTTGCCTCACCATGAATTTGCTGCTTTATAAGGTCCCCAACGTCATGTCACTGAGTGTCAGTCAGATGCTGTGGTTTGAGAAGCCAAATTAAAGTAGTTTTCATTATTCTCCAGAATTCCACACTGCTGATCTCAGGTAATTCAGAAAAGGGTGCCCAAGACTCTTTATAAAACCACAAAATGGCAAAAGTCTCTCCTTTCTGGGACAGAGATCTCAGCTTGTAAGAGGGGGAGTGCTTGGTTTGGTTTGCCCAGAGAAAGAGGAACACAGGAGGACAAGGATCCCAGCTTCCTGCCTCACAGCCAGTTACCTGAATGGCTCTATTGTTTTCCTTGTTTTAGTGATCTGATCCTTGGATTATAAAGCATATGACATGTCTGCCATTCATTCCAAGAGAATGATCCCAAAGTTCTCTTCTGGGAACCTGGAGGCTGTGAAACATCCAAAGCATTGTGTTATCAGTAATGTTGAATATGAGCAAATTTTCTTCAACTTGTCTGTTTAGCTTTCAAGGGGCTTATTACACACACACACACACACACACACACACACACACACACACACACACATACACACACACATACACACACACATACACACACAGCCCTAATATCTGGCCTATTCTCAGGGAATTCCCCACTGTGGCTTTGCTTCAAATGACCAAGAAGAATCAATTTAGGAAATATTTATAGTCTGGTGAAATTTAGCCCCTGCTAAAATCCTTCTCTGATGATTCATTGTATCAGGGAGGGCACCAGGGCCCTGCGGTTGAGAGATGAAAAAGTCCTTTGAGATCATCTACCCCAACTCTTTCATCTAAACAAATTGGGAAATTGAGGCCCAGAGAAGGAAAATGACTTGCTCAAAGTCACACAGTTAATGAATGACTGAGTTACAATTTGAACCTGGGTCTTTTTCAACTCCAATGAAGTCACCAAGCACTTATTAAACACTTTCTATTTTCCTGGTATTGTGATAAGCACTGAGAATAGAAACACAAGCTAAAATAAAGGTAGACCCTGTCCTCAAGGAGCTTATATTCAACTAGGTGAAGACAACATATAAAAAGTGAAAGGAAACTGAGAAGTACCTGGAATTGAGACGTGGGACAAAAAGGCTGGAGCATCAGGAGTGAAGCTTGGAGAGGAATTAAGACACAGCATATGTGGGCATCCTGCTAAGAGAGAGAGACAGGGAGACAGAGAGAGACAGAGAGACAGAGAGAGACAGAGACACAGAGTCACAGAGACAGAGAGAGACAGAGACACATACACAGAGATAGAGAAAGAGAGAGGTGGGGGTGGGGGTGGGGAGACAATAATGGATTTTTTCATAGAAAGGAGTCAGACTAGATGTTCTTTGAAAAATCTACTTCTAAGAGTTTCTGATTTTTGATTCATCTCATTAATTGCTAATTAGAAGCCAGCATTGAGGCAGCTGGGAAAGGTGGCATACAAAGCTGATAGGCCGATAATCATCAGCACTTTGTGTTGGCAAAGAATTGGAAATTGACAGGATGCCCATCAATTGGGGAATGGCCAAGCAGGTTGTGGCATATGAATGTAATGGAATACTATTTTGCTATAAGAAATGATGAGCAGGCTGGCTTCAGAAAAAACCTGGAAAGACTTGTATGGACCGATGCTGAGTGAAGTGAGCAGAACCAAGAGAACATTGTACACAATAACAGCCACGTTGTGCAATGACTAATACTGATAAACTTAATCCTTCCCAGCAATGCAAGGATCTAAGACATCTCCAAAGGCCTAGTGATGGAAAATGCTACCCACATCCAAAGAAAGAACTGTGGAACTTGAATGCAGATCGAAGCATACTATTTACTATTTTTTTTTCTCTCTGTTGAGTTTTGTTTCCTCTTTCTGGTGGTTCCTCCTTTTGGTTCTAATTCTTACTTACAACATCACTAATGTGAAAATATGTTTAATAGGAATGTGTATATATATATATATAGCCTATATCAGATTCTATGCCATCTTGGGGAGGGTGGTGGGGAGGAAGGGGGAGAAGAAGTTTAAACTCAAAAGCATATGGAAGTGATTGTTGATAAATCAAAATAAATTAATAAAAAAATTCAGAATTTGAAAAGGTCATCGCTTACAGTCTCTCTTGCAGAACACCTTACATCCTGGCTATAAGGAAGCATCCTTGTCTAGTCCTTGTCCTAAAACACTTCCATATCTCTTGCCTGGTTTTGTAAGTTGTGATAAATAACAGCTAATACAACTCTGAGATCCAGTCATGTCCTTCCCACCCCAGAAGTCTGTGATTCCGTTGGCTGTGCTGAATGCAGCCATTCCCTAAGTAATGGCTGGGAAATTCAGATCTTTTCTTGTTTATTCACTTTCCAACACATCTGGGCTTGGTCATTGATCTGTAAAAAATGATGATGAATTTGGGGAATGAATGAGACAAGTTAATGGAGCTTTCTAATGAGCCATTGGGGGTGAGGGAAACTTCCTTCACCCCTTAATTTTTGAGGTTCAAAGAATGGGAGACAATTTGCCCAGGCTTCCCCAACCTCCCCGAAGGCTCTGTTACAAATATTCTTGAGCCAAGGTCTGACCCAGGGAACTGACTCACTTTTACAGACAACACTGGACCTGAGTTCAGTCTTCCTGAGTTCTAGTCCTGGCCATGAAACTGAGGGACCAGGAATAATTTAGTCTACATCCTTGAAACTCAGTTTTCTTCTCTGCAAAATGGGAATAATATTCCTCACACTATCTACTTCATAGAAGTATTACAAAGATAGTTATTTAGAGACCTCAATGGAATTGTTAGCTTAAGCTCTGTCTGGTTTGTTGGTTTTGTTTTGTCTTATTTTACATTCTGATTTGTGCTCCAGTTATTGTGGGAAGCTCTTGATGGTGGGTTCTTTCTACTTGTGCAGATGGTCACATACCCTGCAAATTATGGTCTTCCAGAATTTCCTAGGGCACTGAGAGGGTATGAATTGTCCAAGGTTGTACCGCTTGTATATGTAAGATGTGGGGCTTCAACCCCTGTCATCCAGGGTCTTCCAGTTTCTGAGGTCAGATGCACTAACATGTGATTCTATTATTTACATTCTCCACTAATTTATGGGAATGCTGCCACATACACACCCTGAAAAGATATTGTTAAAAGCCATGGCCCTCCTCCAAAACTGAACAGCTTTCGAACACACGCTTTAGGAGATCAAAGCCCAATTCCTAGAACTGTATGAGATTCCCTGGAGCTTATATTCAATTTGGTTCTTCTATCTTCTTCCTTGGATTGTGGAGGAGGGTTGTTCATCTGAAGTGATTCCCCTACAGTCTCCTGGGAAGAGTCTGGTTTAGATGCTGGTGATCACCCACAGAGAGAGAAAGCTCTCATCCAAATCACAGACTCAGAGCATTGTTCTACAGTATCTCCAAACAAATAAACAAATGAAAAAAAAATGAGCAAGCTTGGAGATCATCTAGCAACGAGTCCAACTTCTAACTGAAATATTACTATCTTCTATAATGACTCCTGCAGGTGATGATCCAGGCTCAGTCTAGATGGGCTGCTTCAGAAGGTAGTGAGTTTCCCATCACTGGAGATCTTCAAGGAAAAGCTGGATGATGACTTTGTTAAGCATAGTTTAAGTGACATTCTTATTCCATCGCAGGGTGAATTAGATGGTTGCTGAGGTATCTTCCAGCTGTAAGATTCTGTGCTTATGACCTTGGAGCCATTGCAGTCCAATGCTTTCACTATAAGAGCTGCTAGCTGAGGTCCAAGGAAAATTCAGGAGAAGGCGGGAGTGGAACAGGGCACAGCAAGATCTCACCCCAACCTTCAGGTTCAAGGCCCCTCTAGAAACCAAAAAGCCATGTTTCATTATTCACTTTGTTTCTGAGTTTTGCAAAAGGACACTCACCCACTGGCACCATTTTGATGTAAATGGTATGTGTGTGTGAATTTATTTTTAAGTTTAATACAGCAAATAATTAGATTTATGTATTCAGTGTCTGGCATAGCTGATAAAGAATGTCATTTACCAAAATGTCAATAACTCCACATTCTGCATGATGGCCAGGACCCTCTTCGTGTTTTCATCCCACTATTCTCTAGAGTGGCCCTTGGATAACCATTGTCATTGTACTGACCAGGTTTTCATTTGCATTAAAATCCTTCTTTTGCAGATTTCTAAAGGAAAATTTCTTTATCAACTCTTTTTTCATATTGGGGACGAGAGAGGTTTCATCTGCTGTCAAGGTTTTTAAATGCCCTAGTTCTTAATCACTCATAGGTTGTTCTGCCAGGTATGTGGTTGAGTGTGTCTTTTGCTAACGGTAAACTCGTTTTCATCCAAAAAATTTGCAAAGTGCAGAAGCACCCTGCTCAGGAAGGAAGATGAGTAAGATGAGAGAAGAATCAGTCTGCACATATCCTGATGAATGGGTAAGGAGGAAAGGCAAGCTTCAAAAACAAAACAAAACAGACCCAGAAAAGAACCATAAAGACATAGAAGGGTAGAAATGGTGGGGGCTTTATTACTGAATGGGCTTCCTTGGGACATAGTGAGTTCCTAATCACTGGAGATTCAGATGAAGAGGCTGGCTGACTAGGGGTTGTGCAGAGGGAAGTTCTACTCAGGGCCTTGGTGGACCATGGGACTTCTGAGGTCCCTTCCAACCCTGAGATTTTAGGATTGGGTCACCCTCTAATGCCAGACGGAAATTGTCATTCCACTGTCTACATTTTCTCTCCTTGTTGTTCAGTCATTTCAGTCATGTCTGATTTTCCATGTCCCCATTTGAGATCTGAGGTTTTCTTGCCAGAGATACTGGAGTGGTTTGCCATTTCTCTTTTCAGTTCCTTTTACAAATGAGGAAACTGAGTCAAACAGGGTCAAGTGACTTGCCCAGGGTCACATAGCTAATAGGTATCTGAGGACAGATTCAAACTCAGGAAGACGAGTCCTTTTGTCTCCAGATCTGGAACAGTATCCACTGTGCCACCTGCGTCTCCTTCCACTAAGCTATAAAATACGATTTTATGGAAATCCATTTTATTTCTAGGATCATTTGGAGAGATGGCCAGGTCTTTAACAGTCCAGCCCTATCTTTCATTATTTCCCTTCATGTAACATATGGAATGTTCTATCCTTTTCATGTGCCTTGTGCTTTAGCTTGAAATTTTCCCAGGCCCCAGGTGTGCTTCCTTTTTCCTTCCTCATTTCCATCCCATGAAGTAATTGTCATCTTTCAAGGCCCAGTTTAGCTGACACCTATTCCATGATGTCCTCTAGAGCTAATCCTCCTTATACAATCTTACTCCATGTTTTCCTTACTCTTGTGTGCACTCCTT